GTGACAAGAATGTTTGTGTGGACATGGTATGCTCAAATGACCTTCATGGTGTATGTTGTTGGAACAACAGCATTTGGGTGAGTACGAAACTCTTTACCTACGAAGACAAAACAGGAGGGGGAGGCAAGGCTGCCAACTGGTGAAACCAAGGTTGTTTTGAGAGAGAGCCAAGGCGATATCTAGTGGAGGAGAAAGCCTTGGGGTACCACGTTCTTTCCTGGGGAAGAATTTTGGCAATGCGAGAAATGGATGGTGGAAGTAACTGACCTTGTTTGGGGAGACCCCGAGATGGAGAAATTCTACCATCCTACGTGCTTCAGTGCTGCAAAGTGGCTTTCAATTACAAACTTGATTTTACAGTTTTAATAGAGAGCCGCGTGCTTGTTGGAAGTGTGTCAGCCGAAACCAGCGGTAGAGCTTGGCAAGTTTGTTTAGGAGGGGTGCTAATGTGGGGGGGATGGAGCGGTTCTTTAAATAGACAAACATTCGGAGGGTATCACCTAGCGCAGACTGGCCAGTCTCCAAATAAGGCCAGCCCGTTATGAGTTGAGCCTGCTTGGCTGCCCTACATCGCGTACTGTTTGCCCCCTTGGCGCCGTTTCAATGCAAAACGTCGCTGATAATGGTTTTGATTAGTTTAGACGAGATGCACTTCTGCACAAGGATAGCGGCGGCAGGGGAAGGCAAAGCGAGATACAACCCTAGAAACAACTTTCTGCGGTATGCATGGGAAAAGAGAAAAGTATGCAAGCTGCGTGCTTGCCCTTCGGTGATTTTAAGATCTGAAGTAGTCGCGAAAGATGATCAAAATGATGAGCAAGAAAAGTGGAACAGATGATACCTACTCAAAAAGATAATGCGTGCCTTGAAAAGTGAGATTGTCGGGCAGTAACCTTACTGTGTAGTGATTGCGCTTGCTGGCTTGCATACCAGTTGTGGGTTATCTTCAGATATCGTATACCAGGCTAGCATAAGTGTCCTTGTGACATTGGAATATGGTACGTGTCGGAACTTCTAGTGGCTAGACTTCGTCAAACTTATCGGCCCTTCTTTACACACAATGTCACTGCAAGTATTAAAAGCAATCAGAGAAGCGAAACTATTTTGGGGAGGAGGGGTGTCAAATTGCGCTTTCGGGGAATTATGTCAGCTGTTAGTGTGCCCCTTTTTTGGGTACGTCAGCATAGGCATCAAGGCTTGAACTCTGGAGCGCTCGATAGACTATTTTTATCAAGAGTAGAAACTATGTAGGGGAAGGAATGCATTTACCGATATTATATTTCGACGGGTAGAGAAATTGTCCTCTTAGTTTGCTAATCCTTGCATACTTGTTATCATTTTTGTATCGCAATTTGGAAACTGCTGTGCTCATTTTTAATTAGTTAGAACATGGGCTACTTTACAATGGCTAATTCACGAACAGCAAATATCTCCATGAAATGCGAGCAACATTTAAGTACACGATCTAAAGAAAATCTAAGGATAGTGAGAATACAACGTCATTCCAGCTTTGATACTATAATTCGTAGTCTTGAAACATTTATATTTTACTTGATCTACTACAACTCAAATATCTGACGTTATGCCAATGTAGGGTATATCCCCGAATTACCTAATCTGCTTGCCGTTGTCCACTCACTCACGCCCCCTACTGTTTCTAAATCGCTTTGCAGAGATGAAGGATGGATTCCCCCTGTTTGACAACAAGGGTGATGGCAAGATCGACGGAGCACAGCTGGGCGATGTCTTGAGGTCTTTCGGCCTGAACCCCAGCAACGCGGAAGTCGAGAAGATCGCGAAGGCGAATGGTAAGACGTCTTAGTTTTCTAATCGCGATAGATTAAACATATAGCTCAAGAGTCGTTTAAGAACCCAACATACTTTATCTAGAAGAGTGACCCATTGTGCTTGGCCAAATCACATGCCCATGACTCAATCGATTACCAAAGTCCAATATTTCTTGAAAACTTTGCAATAACAGAGTGGAGCATAAACAGCCCGAGATACATCTTAGACTTGCGGATGTGTAGTTTCACTATCGGTAACAATACTAGTAGTATGGCAGACGTCTGGCATAGGAATGGCGTTTGAGAAATACCCCGTTTCGCCGTCAGACTACACACTGTCAGCGGTTCTATAACCGTAAGGTTTCTATTGTAAGATACGTCATTTCGATGGCGCGGATTCGGATCCCACCGCTGCCACCAGTGTAAGATACGATGAATAGGAGACCATGAAAGACGTATGTACTCTGTGACTATCTGCTACAACTGTGTGCTCAGACGCTGTAGTCTGAGTCCTTTGTTGACGTGTAATAAGTTGTGGTCTGTGTGGTGACAGTTATGATAGCTTCCTGTCACAAGAGACGGTCTCCTAAAACACATTTCTACACCATCTTCATTTTCCACAGAGGGCAAGAGGCTGAGCTTCGATGACTACCTGGCCATCCACAAGCAGGTCCTTGCTCAGGGTGAGGTCGGATCGTACGAGGACTTCTTTGAGGGCCTGAAGCTTTTCGACAAGGAGGGCACCGGCCTGATCAGTGGAGCTGAGCTGCGCCACGTGTTGGCCACACTAGGTACGTTTTCTCACTCACTGTCTGGGCGTAGGACACCCACCAGCCATTTTACAACAAGATGGCGGCCGTCAGAGGACTACTGAGTATGCAAAGACGGTAGTGAATGAAGCTGTAAAAATGCAGTATAAAACTTCCTCCAAAAACCAAAGACCAAAAACAAAAGCAACAGCATTTTGGGAAACCTCATGCAATTGCTAAGTCAATTTCCAGTTGTTGCTTTTGGTCATGAGTCACTCATGACGTTTGAGGCTATCTTGACGTTATCATGACGTTAACTCAACGTCATCTTGACGTTAACCTGACGATATCTTGACGCTATCTTGATGTTAACTTGACGTTAACTTGGCGTTATCTTGATGTTAACTTGACGTTATCTTGATGTTACCTTGACGTTATCTTGACGTTAACCTGACGATATCTTGACGTTATCTTGATGTTAAATTGACGTTAACTTGGCGTTATCTTGACGTTAACTTGACGTTATCTTGATGTTACCATGACGTTATCTTGGCGTTAACTTGCAGGTGAGAAGCTGACTGAGGCCCAGGTTGATGAGTTGATGGCTGGCGGTGGCGGACAGGAGGACGCTGAGGGCAATGTCAACTACGACAGTACGTATTTGCCTTCGTAAGAAGGGTATAAAATCAGTTTGCTTTAGTGTGGGAGATAGTGGATTTAGCGGCATAACTCTTGGAGGCATGGATCGTTGTTCATGATTTTTGGCAGGCAGGTTACCGTTGGGAAGACCAAGGTCAAGTGAAAAAATGGGCTTGGTGGGGGGTCTCTGCATCACTGCAGTAGACCTTTAGCAGGATGACTCGAGTTTACGTTTAGATTTAGCAGATTTAGATTCTATGGATTGTATAGTCGAGCAGAGCATCGCTAGTATCTAGATGTAGTCGCCAATCTACGTCAACAGAAATTCCTAGACTGAAATAGCCCACCCAAATTTAGAGTTGTATCAAATTACGGATCCTAATTTCTGAGAACCGGAATTGCATGCATAATTGTATCGTCTTTTATGTTACAAGGATAAAAGGAACGCAGCCCTTATCCTATGCTCTCTGCATCATAAAATGGAAATTAGAAGATATAGATCTCGAGATATAGATTACTGTAATAATTCTTCAATACACTTATATTTCATGATGTATGTTATATACATGCTGATTTTCTAATGCATGGATCTTTATATAGACTGTTGTAACTTGCTCTTCCATTTAATATGTTTGTAAAAAGTAAGATGTCACTCATTCTATATATGTAGTTTCTCACAAAGCGTAATTTGGAACCATTGTGTCTTCACTTTCAGTTAACCACTTTCATATCACTTACGTCTTTTTTCTCCCTTAATCTTCCGTTCTTCTCAGCCTTCGCAAAGTACCTCATGCTCGGCTAAGTATAGGTAACACACTCCGTCTTTCATCCTTCCTCTTGTTCATTCTTTCTTTTCTTCACTGCTTGGACCAGGATGCGTCTTCATTCTTTGTCTGTCTTCTGCTTTCTAAGATTTCGTGTCGCAAGCTACTTTCATCTCCAATCTCCTCAACAATCTTCCTCGGCTACAAATAATTGATGTATATGAGTAAACACTATGGGGTGAAATGGTCAAGATTGTTGGCAAAACATTGTCATAGCGATGAACCGTTTCCTTTGGACTATAATTTACGTTGACTATTGAAGCACCCGACAAGCTTGGCGCCCCCCTCCCCCATACCATGCGATAAGATTTGCTTCAACTCTAATTTTGCTTTCTTTTTCAGCGCTCTTCCCTCCGCCTAAACATTTATTTCTCCCTTCTAAAGCGACCTTCCTATAAGATAAAAAGATGCTTCATCCAAGCTCCACTCCCACATTTCTCCCGACCCCAATTGCAGACCTCCAAAACCTTCATGAAATCTTTAAAAAATGCTGACATGACAGAATCGAAATTTATAAAAGGTTCTGGATGTCTTCAATTGCGGTTCACTCCTTTTCAATAGCATACATCCTTGCTGCTGTAAGATTCCTAAGATCCCATCTGCCGGTTGGAAAGTAGTTTAGAAGCGCAGCTTCTGTCAATGATATTTTGGCTTGACTTTCCTGACGAAGACGATATAGCTTATATAGAGCGGTAATATAATGCATTATTCCCCTTTCTCCCAGTGGCAAACCAGTTTCCAGATGCTCAACCCCTACCAATGATGAAGAGCGTAACATAATTGTTTTACCAATGACGAAGGGCTTAACGTAATTGTTTTACCAATGATGAAGAGCGTAACATAATGTATTGTCGTATCATTATTGCCTACCGACAAGCGACGAAACCGACGACAACCCCTTTGCTATATGCTCTTTTCCTCCTAAGCTCATTAACAAAGAAAAGGACATCTTCTGGCCTGTCTTTGTTCATGACGTTGGTATCGAACACCCATTAACTATTTCTTCTGTTTTCAACTTACACAGTGTTCTCTAAATATGCCTTGGAGGGCTAGACCATAGGTAACCACGCCATACGCATTACGTGTTCCATTCATTCTACAGCACATTTCTCTGAGAACCCCTTCACTAAAAAGTAACTTCTTGATATCACTCCGCCAAGCATCTACAGTTTGAAACTATTGGTTAACAGTGCCTAACAACAACTGTTATTCTCTATTCCGATTTTCTCGCTATATGCTACAGATAATGTCATACAGTTAATATATCGTTTTCTCGTCAAAGCAGCCTAGCAACTTTATTCATATGCATAACGTGACATCATAAATTGCAACCCTCATTCTCTCTATCCCCTTTCTGTATTTAACCTCCTAATTTGGTATCCCTTTACTGACTTTTACCTCCCATTTCTCATCATCATCATCATCATTAATCTATTTTCATCCATTCTCCCTGCTTGAGACGTTCCTATCTGGAGGCATCCGAGCTCTTCTGCTCTTGCTATAACTTAACCCTTACCTTTTAAGCATCACATAGTCGTCATTTTAATGTGCTTTCTATCTTTGATGGGGATTGGACAAGTTTGGCTGATCGTAGTATCACAATCGCTTGAGTAAAACAGTATCGGATAGCAGCGAATGTAAAAGACAAAATTCAGAGGATATGAAAGACTTGTCCAGTCTCCTACGCTCCTCGCCTTTTTTACTGTTCTTTGGCTTTTACTGACATTTCACCTGCTTCCTGTTCTTACAGAATTCATCTGTTACGCTCTCGCAGAGGCTCTTTAGTACGTACACTCATTTCTGACTGAACTGTGCTCAAACGTTACACGTATTTCTCCCCATCCCAGTCCCGTGCGCGTCTGACAGTGTTCTCAAGTCTGTCCATGTCTCGTACAGTCTCGCAGAATCTCGTTTGTCCTGTTCACGTTCTCGTTGTTTCGTTCCGTTTCGTTCATTGGCTAAAAAAAAAGAAGAAAAAAAAAAAGATTCTGTAGACCAACCAGAAGTTGTGTCACGTATAAGGAGGTTGTAACCACAATATCATAGAGCATTGTGACGTCGTGTGAAGTCACGCAGAATCTCAGGAACATAGACTGTGCAACATTTGTCATTTTAAAATCCGTCGGCTCTTTTCCTTTTCTCTGCTTCTCTTGACAAGAAGGAAAACATACTTTTCTTGATTTGTGAACGAGATTCTGCGTGATTGTAGCTGAGCATATGCATCTTCAGTGCTTGACAAACCCAAAGTCCACCCTTATGCTTCATCAGTGTATGTCCGCATGATGTACATATATAGTTGTCCGCCCGTTTATGCCTTTACTATGTCTTGTCTGCATCCTACTTCGTTTTAAAACCTTCTGTTCCCCTCTTCTTTCGCACGAATCTTTTCTCCTTTTTACCCAAGTCTCCTCAAGCATATTGCATCTTAAACTAACATTTATCTGTCCCAACGCACGACTCAGATTTCTTATACTAACCACATGAGAACCTCCGAAAGGTATTTAGTGATGCAACAGATATTGAAAACGCCTACAAAAAGTATTAATTTCGTATATTGAAAATTTCGAAATCTCAACCAGATTAATATTACAAACGACAAAAAAATATATCGCGCACGAGACACGACATTCTTGAAGAAACCTGTTTTAACTTGAGCGATAGGCGATTGCGTCGTAGAGGGTTGAAATATTTTATATTTTCAACCCCCTTCGAAATACAATGGCCCCTCCCGAAGTTGAAACGGTTCCCATGGTAACGGTCGCTATGACAACAACGCCAATCTTATCGACCAGTTTGTTTCCATGCAATCATACTTGTCACAAAATATCACATTTTGGCCATTTCACCGATGAAATTTATTCATTCATCGCGTCATGAAAAGCAGTGCACAGGTGTGCACGTCTGACGATGACGTCAGTATTTCGAATCTGATTGGAGGAACTTGTCGAACGTAGCTTATACATCCACCAATGACAGGCTCTGATAGTGTTTGAATTCTTTCTCCCAACAGAGTTCGTCAAGTACATCCTGACTGGTTAAGGTACGTTGACCTTCATGTTTATGTAGTTTTAGACGAAATTCAGAACACCAAATGCGAGAAATATGGTAAAATGCAATGAAAGTTGAGGTAGTGGCTGTGTCATGTGAGATATTCAATGTTGCTCTACGGTTGCTAAGAGACGGTTGCTAGGTAACTAGCCATCTTGGATACGTCATCATCCGAGCACAAATCTCTGTAATAAACTGTTATTTGTGACATTGAATTGCTGTAGTCTAACAGGGAATTTTTTCATCATTCTTTTCCAGATATCCGCGTAAGGAGAGGAAGAGGAAGGTGTTTGATAACATCCAAGAACACCATGTATAGTTAGAGCTATTTATGTTTGCCGAGAAAAAAAACAAAGAAGTTCAATCAGATGCAACGAAGGACCATCACGTGTTTCAACGGCTGCCTTTAGAAGATAGCTCACTTGCGTCCACGACGCATGCCCAGAACTCTTGAAAACTCGCGGGGTTACCAACCGGCGTTCAGTGCGCATGTCTTTAGCATTTCCAGCTCTGATTTTACCTAGGGTAACGTTGGCGTTTTCTTCAACTGTTCTGGGGCACGCCATAACAACTTTTCTAAAATGTGTAAAATGTAAATGTAACAAATTTTCGCAGACTATTGTAGCATTCGACCTTACTTTGGTGTGCATGTGCCTAAATGTGTCCCCCGATCGACTGTGAATTTTGTTACTTTGTTCCCTTTCTATGTTCAATAAAGTACTGGGTTTGGAACAACTGCGAGCCTTGGTTAATCTGTGAAGTAATCTTGTATCTACCCTAAATTAATTGAGCACAATCACGACAGATCTATACTGTTACTAAGGCTACGTTCTTATGTTCATTTCGCTCTATCGTTCAAGAAGATAATAGCCTATATTGCTGCAGACATACTATATAATACATACGATATGATGCAGCTCATGTATATAACACAGATTGACTGTCAGAGACGTATTTTCTTCTGTTACGAACAAGTGATTTGTATTATAAAGGCATCCAATGCAATTTCAGAGTGGCAAAACAAAACATTTTGGATGAGAAAATCTGTCTGATATTGATATTTACTGCCATTTCACAACAAATTTACATAATAATTTTTACCCAAAAACAAGTCACGTGAGGCGTCTCTATTTTTGGGTACCACCCACAAATAGCTAGATCCGGCCTATAATACGAAATTACTTTTTGTCTCAAATATTTCAGTATGCTATGAGATAGGATTGTTCAACATTAAAAGAAAATTGACTTCAAAATCCAGTTTTGCTGCCCTGAAATCACACTTGCTGTTAGCGATACAAATATAGTGTATTAGTACTTACGTAGACTTGGATGATTGGATCCTTAAATTTAGTGGCACACAGGGCAGCACAGTTTCTCCACTCAAGTCAGTTTAGGACCTCAGTTTTCGCTTCTTTTAGACGTTAATGCCATTTTCGGGGCTTCGGGCGTCCCCGCTTCCCATTTCAGTAAGCTAGCCTATATTTTGCTGGTGCCGGTGTTCAGATACTAGATACTTATTATATGAGCGGGATAACAGTATAGCGGACCGCCATCTCAGCACCAAGGACATCGCCCGCGCACGCACTGCCACGTCACTTTGTGTTAGCTTCGGACGTTCCCGCTCATTTCAGTAAACCAGTCTATATAACCAGCCTATATTCTGCTGGTGTTCAGATCCTTTGCTGGTGTTCAGATACTTATTATATGAGCGGGATAACAGTTAGTTGATTGAAAAGCTGAAGTTGTCAAGGGAAGAGCTGATAATGTCCAAATACAAAATATCCGGAACCTACACATATAATATATGAACATAGGTGGCGATGCTTCTATGGACGATCACATGTCCCTGTTAATGTCGTTGCTGTTATTGTTGTTGTCGTTGTTGCTGTATCACGCATCCTTGTTGATGTCCTTGTTGTTTGTGTATCTGTTGTTGTTGATGATGCAGCCGGCTCTGGCCTTCATACATCATTCAAAGTCGAGTCAGGCCGAACCTCAATCACATGTACCCGCGGCAGATTGGGCAACGCCGGGGCGACCGCTGCCGTCGGCGGCCGTCCGCACATCTCTCTCACCGCACGGCGGAACTCGGGTAGCCGGAGGGTGTAGACGACGGGATTCAGCAGGGGCGATAGAGTCAGGCACAGGAGAATAGCGGCCTTTTCTACGATCACTACCGCCATGGAAGGCCCCTCCTTCTGTTCGTTACCTTCCGCCAAGGTAACAGTCATAAAAATGGCAGAGATTACTGAAGTAGTAAAGACTACAACATGGGGAAACATGGTTTTGAAGCCTTTGGTCTTGTAGAATTTCACCGGTCGCTGTTCGTCCCTTTGTTGTTGCCGCTTCGCTTCCTTCAAAACGACGTAGTACAAACCTATGATAACCGGCAGGGATAAAATCTGTAAAACTATGCCGATGCTCCTAAGAACAAAGGCAGGCTGATATGTCCTTGTTTTCATCAGACATGAGACGTTACCTTCTGCTTTTCTAACAAGGGCAATCGGAACTGCGCCGCAGATGATAGAGAACGCGTCAACAAGACCCAGTACTATGGCCAAACGCTTTGTAGTGACTTTGGTTTCATACTTAAGTGGGTGACATATGTAGTAGTACAAGTCTATAGCCATTAGAAGATAGGTAGCGTATGTGGACAGTAATGCTGTAGCGCTAACTATTCGTGTGTCCGAGCAGATAATACCGTAAAATCGGCCGTTGCTTTGCAGAATTAGATGGATGTATCTCGGGATCTGTGCCGTTGTGAAGAGGATGTCGTTGAAGGCTAGGTGGCACCGTAAGTAGTGGCGAGGCTGTTGGAGATATTCCTTTCTGCACACAAGGAGGATGAGAAGAGAGTTAGCGGCTACTATCAGGATAAAACTGATGCCGAGGTACGCTGCCTGAAGACCCGGGGAGGCTGGCCCGAGAGAGACCGTAACTTCGGCCTGGGAGCTGCCCTGCTGATCGCCCATCTTAGCCGCGTATAGAAGATACCAGGACGCTGAACACCTTGCCTGGTTAATACTGCACCAGCTCGAGAAAAATATTTCTGACAGCCACCGAATAAAAGCGTAAGAAACAACTGATTGTGTGGTTCGCATGCACGCTGGTCTCTGTGTAAATCTGTTTTTGGTGCCGTTTCTGCTGAAAATTAGCTTCAATTCATGGTCGTAACAATACATAGTAAGATTGCTTGTTCCGTACAGCGGAGACACCAAAAAAGCGTACGAAACAGATCAGAGATTGTGTGGTTCGCATGCACCCTGTTTTATGCGTCAGTAAATGTTTTGGAGGCTTTCCCCTGCTGAAAATTAGCTTCAATTCATGGTCGTAACAATACGTAATCAGATCGTTTGTTGCGTACAGTGGTGGAGACGTGGGTTTGAGTGAACACTACGATGATTTGAAACGAAAGTTGCGGAGTTTAGGGTAACACTTTGTAAAGGAAAACGATTGTACTTCAGGACATACAATCTATCAGTTGTTTGTTTCCATCGTTATATGTGTCCATACTTGTTTTCGTGAGCACTTGGCTACTTACATTTAAGAATTGTCGGCCTTGATGGGAGCATTTTGGCTCTTGAAAATTAGCTTCTATTGTTGACAGTAACAATTGTTCATGCTGTGCCGTTCCGCGGGGGCGTTTTTAATTTTCATTGCTACGCCGGCGTTTGTCTGCTATAGTCATTCCTTATCGTAGCCTAAACAAACACGCCGATCCTCATCATCATTCTGTTCATCATCATCATCATCATTCATCCTCCATAATAGAGGTGGAGCATACAAAGTTAGCTCACCAAAACTGTTTGTCATACATCACAGAGATCAGGATTCCAGAGTAGAAGCCTACTGGCTGGTTCTTCACTGCGTACTACATGACCAGCCAAGCTTAGTCGTCGACATTTGACTACTGAAGTTACATTTGGTAACGAACCGTATAACTGTTCATTTAGTAGTATGTTTCCACCATGGTGTATTGAAAACCACTCGCAGCATCTTCGTGTATGTTCCGTTAAGTTTTGCACTGTTTCCGTTAAGTTTCATTCTGTTACAACTTCTAAAAGTTACAGTATTGCAGAACCCTTTATATGAGGGGAACTGAATTGCGCTGTCCCTTACAAGTACAGCTATTTTAACACTAAAATCACAAATTACTAAGATCGCTAATCACGTGTACAATGTAACAGCTTTCATTAAAATAATACATGAAAACTTTATATATTAAATATATATAATAGTAGCATTTTAAAATCATAGGTAGAACATTGTAGGTACATAAATAAGCAAGCGTTCATATACTTCAATTTGAAAGTTTAGCACGCTTACCCCTTACTAATGTGACACTATAATGGTACAAATATGAATGTAAAATCATATATGCCATGCATTCAAGTACCAGAGTTATCACGCAAGGATTGAGGTGTTCAAGAATTCATTCTTTCCTAGAACTATTGCAGAGTGGAACTCACTGTCACCAAGTACAGTAGGGGCATTGTCAATAGATAGCTTTAAACAATGTCTTGAGCTAGAAGTTCAAGGGTTAGGTGTAACAAGTCGATCGGTGTAATATAGCCAGCTGCCGCCGCGCCGCGTGCCTGCGAAGCTGGTGTGTTACGCCGAAAGGCGGTTATTTTATTCATTCACATGAAAAAAGGATACAGGACATGGTGGTGCCTCACTCAAGTGGAAAGCACTTATGTTGACGGCACCACTAAATAAATACATATAATAAAGAAAAGAAACAATCGCAACTTTAAGACAGGCAAAAAACAGTAAATACAAGAAATTCAAGAGCGCAGGTCCGGTTCACCACCCAATGATAAATGATGGCAAAGAGGACACAGTACATAATGCGGTTATACCGGCTATACAGATACAGATACATATATATTTTCCGACTAATATCTGATCCTCGCTCGGATGCACTCTCTTCCCTGAGTTGGTGCGACCCGGCGAACGCAATTGTTACCAAGACGGCCTAAAGTTCGCGTGGCGGGTATAGCGGACCGTCATTTCAGCACCAAGGATATCGCCCGCGCACGCACTGCCACGTCACTCTGTGTTAGCTGCGGTCGTCCCCGCTTCCCATTTCAGTATCTAGACTAGCCTATATTATGCTGGTACCGGTGTTCAGATACTTATTATATGAGCGGGATAATAGTATAGCTGACCGCCATTTCAGCACCAAGGACATCGCCCGCGCACGCACTGCCACGTCACTCTGTGTTAGCTGCGGACGTCCCCGCTTCCCATTTCAGTATCTAGACTAGCCTATATTTTGCTGGTACCGGTGTTCAGATACTTATTATATGAGCGGGATAATAGTATAGCTGACCGCCATTTCAGCACCAAGGACATCGCCCGCGCACGCACTGCCACTTCACTCTGTGCTAGCTTCGGTCGTCCCCGCTTCCCAGTTCAGTATCTAGACTAGCCTATATTTTGCTGGTACCGGTGTTCAGATACTTATTATATGAGCGGGATAATAGTATAGCTGACCGCCCTTTCAGCACCAAGGACATCGCCCGCGGACGCACTGCCACGTCACTCTGTGTTAGCTGCGGACGTCCCCGCTTCCCATTTCAGTAAACCAGTCTGCCTTTATTCTGCTGGTGTTCAGATACTTATCATATATAAACGGGATAACAGTTAGTTGACTGAAAAGCTTAAGTTGTCAATACAAGGGAAAGGCTGATAAATTCCAAATTTCAAAATAACCGGAACCTACACATATAATAGACGAACATAGGTGGCGATGCTTCTATGGACGATCACACGTCCTTGTTAATGTCGTTGTTGCTGTTGTTGTTGTTTTATCAGGCGTCATTATAGAGGTCGTTGCTGTTTTTGTGAGCACCGCTTGGCTTGACATGATTACAGAACGACATGATCCTATTGGCTGCAGGATCCCACCCCCACCCCCACATAGAGGTTGGACCAGGGAATGACACGTTGCACAAATTTTACAAGTTTTGAACAGGCCACATCAATACAGTTTCCTGGTTCTTGACATTGTAAAATAAACAAGGAACTGCATTTAGTATAAGCAGGAGTTCAGCACCAGGGACAGGTACTACAGTGGTGGGTTGACCATGAAGCACACTTGTGCAATTTGTTTTGTATTCAATATTTTAATCTGTATTTTTAATCTGTGTTTGGGAGGACAACTTGTAAAGGTGTCAATGCACCTGTTTTGTCCTCCCTTCCACTTGTATATCTGGTGGTAAACTCAAATAAACAAATAAACAAATACACATTGATTCAAGTTGCTGGATTTTCCCTAAGAGATGTTAGAAAACCAAGGAAATAAGTTGGTGTAGGCTTATGGTTATGGTGAAAACAAAGATAAATAAACATCCAAGCAACTCAAAGCTTTGCAAGATCAGATGAGATGAAAGATAGAAGTTCAATGTGTGCACGCCAACGACAGTTTTTCATCTACTTATTAGTCTACCAGTTGGGAGAACCACACCTCAAATTCCGGCATGTGCCAACCGGACAAAACCTGTTTTTCCTGACAAGAAATTTTGCCAGGAACAGTCTCCGTGACAACTTGATCCAGGTCTGTCAGTATTGGCAGCTTTTAAGGCTTCACTTAACAGTAAGTGTTATTTAGATTCTCTGATACAGGCGAATTTGCAAACAGAAAAAAATTAACCCTCCAAAGTATGAGTACAAGTTATTACTCAGTGCAGAATTTTTTCTGCAAATTGTAGGTATAACTAGCCTGGATGCCAGACCCAAAGCACACTGGACACAGAATATCTCAGCGTGCAATATTTTGTGTCCAGTGTGCTTTGGGTCTGGCATCCAGGCTAGGTATAACAAGATACAAGATATTCAACAAAAATTGATTTATTGAGATTGAGATAGCAGGTTACCAGGAGTAAATAGGAGTAAAGTGGCTTTTCCAAGGCATAGCAGAGGGTCTGCATGGGGGGGTCCTGGCAACGGTTAACGGTAAATTCAGCAGGGCCGATAACGCTTAACGGTAAATTCAGGACGGCCGGCAACGCCCATAACGGTTAACGAAAAAGGGCATGCAGACCCTCATAGCACTGGGGACTGCCATGGATTTGTACAGAGAACCTTCAGATTCTGAGTCAAACCTAACCACAAGTTAGACCACCTTGCCACTAAATGTACAAATAACATCCTGTTCTTACTCTGTGTTTGCCAACAGATTCAAAATGTCCCAGTCCAACACAGAAAGGAACAATCCGGTTTATCATACAAACCATCCAGAGGAGCCGACAAGCCCAGGACAAAATGAAGATCATCTACACCCTGATCAGAATGTACTGTACACAGAAAGCACTACTGCAGACCCAACAAGAATGTCAACATGCGGCCAAAACTCTCCCAGTGTTCAAGGACAAGACATGTTGGAGACTACGTATGTAGCTGGCAATGAAGTCGAACATACAAGCACAAATGAGGATCAGTATATGACAGATATTAACAATATCCCCACCCCAGAATCCACTGATGTATATTCTGAATCTAATCCGATCCATACTGAAAACTCTGCCTTGTACACAGCCTCAGGGGAAAATGAAGATAGCAACACTACTGGAAACAGTGAAGAGGAAACACAAGTCAAGCAAGCAGACAGTACAGTGACTGATGGTGGTGACATCACTGAACCTTACGCTGCTAGATACAAGGATGAAGAACCCAAAGCAGACAGTAACGTTACAGTGACTGATGAACCACATTAAAGTTAGCCCTCCTTTCGGCCTTCGATTCGCAACCTTCGATTGAGCCTTCGATTCGAATGGTAGGCACTATTTCGGATACGTCTCAGGCGCGGAAGCATTCTACTGTCCCACATATGCAAATGAGCACGCATACAGTATTTAAATAGACATTCCACGTACGTATGTCAAACCAAACCACAACCTTTCAGACTCTGTATTCATTTGATTAAATAATCGTCTAATTTTCAACAACCAAATGAGTCTTTATAATC